ACCATGCTGCAGGTATTTCTCTGCATCGGAGCCTTGCAAATAGATCAGAGCGGGAAAAACGGATGCGATTTGTGCGACCTCGCCGAGTAAACTTGAATCCTACAGAACTATTTGTGATATACTCCGAACACTTCTCGGAGGACTGTTTCGAGAGATCTGTGTACTTTGAACAGAGTTAATTGACTCTGCTTTGAAGGATCTAGGCGAAGAATTCTGCCGGGTTCAGTGCCTACGGTTCAAGGAGAGAAGGGACAAGAAAAACCGTCCTCAGTACGATCTCGACGCCGGAAAGCGAAGTCTACGAACCTCCACGGATTTTGCCACCTTTACAGATAAGCTGATCAGTATCCACCTATAACAACTCTCTGGCAGAATACCTCACACAAAGGAAAGCACTCGGCGAACATTGTAAATAAGAATGATAAAATAGCCGAATTGAGGATTGAGATTTCTGACCTCAAAGAGCTCACTTTTATACAAAAGAGATGAAAATATATAATTGTGTACTCTGATTCTAAAAAAAACCTGGATTTAATATCAGCGAAAGCAGAAAAAACAGCTTAAGACACAGAGCGTAAAAACACTTTAAAATGTTGGCTTGCTGCCAAAATCGGAGAAAATAAAAATTTCTTTAAAAACCTGTCAAACTATCAACCATCAATGTCAAAGCTGTTAGTATTGTCTGTTTCCTGGGGGAAAATACTATTGTGACGGATGAGAAAAAATATAAATTTGTAAGTAGTCATAGTATCGTAATACAAGTATTATTTTTTGTTAATTGTTAAGCAATTTTAGTGTTTTAAGTAACGTTAACCCTTCTTTTAGTAGTTTATGTGTATTTGACTTTGGATATTTATATATATGATCATAACAATAAAACAAAAACAAAGAAAAATAAGAAAAATGCGTCTATTGTTGACTGTGGCCGTGAAGCAAAGTCTCCCAACTGATACTGTGTTACTCTGAGTGGCACAAATTTCAAGTGCACGCTTTGTTGACTGAACCGCTGAAGAAAAGTTCCCAAACAGTTTTAAAAAACAGTTTAATATAAATGTAAAGTGCATACTGTTTTGACTTAAGCGCTGAAGCAAAGTCGCCCAAACTGTGCTGTGTTACTTCGAGTGATTGGTAACTCCTGGCTGTGTCTGCGTGTTCCTTTCCAAACAGTTTAATACGGATGTCGAGTGCATGCTGTTTGGACTGAAGCGCTGAAGCAAAGTCGCCTAGGTCGTGCTGTGTTAAGCAATTATTCTTTGGACAATGCTGTGACGTAGTCGTAGATTGAGCATCAAACCAGTTTAAGACGAACGTCGAGTGCATGCTGTTTGGACTGAAGCGCTGAAGCAAAGTCGCCTAGGTCGTGCTGTATTGCTCCGAGTGACTCATAACTCCTGGCTGTGTCTGCGTGTTCTTCTCCAAACAGTTTACGACGAACGTCGAGTGCGTGTTCTTCAGAATGAAGCGATGAAGCAAAGTCACCAAGGTTGTACTGTGTTACTACGAGTGAGTGGTAAGTCCTGGCTTTGTCTTCGTGTTCCTTTCCAAACAGTTTAATACGGATGTCGAGTGCATGCTGTTTAGACTGAAGCGCTGAAGCAAAGTCGCCCTGGTTGTACTGTGTTACTCCGAGTGAATCATAACTCCTCGCTGTGTCTGCGTGTTCTTCTCCAAACACTTTCCGACGAACGTCGAGTGCGTGTTCTTCAGAATGGAGCGCTGAAGCAAAGTCGCCAAGGTTGTACTGTGTTACTCCGAGTGATTGGTAACTCCTGGCTGTGTCTGCGTGTTCTTCTCCAAACAGTTTAATACGGATGTCGAATGCATGCTGTTTGGAATGAAGCGCTGAAGTAAAGTCGCCTTGCTGGTGCTGTGTTACTCTGAGTGACTCGTAACTCCTGGCTGTGTCTGCGTGCTCTTCTCCAA